TGTTGACATTGGGGAGAGGGAAGGGAATAAGCATTTATTAAGTGCTTACTATATGCCAGGCACTGTGTTAAGTGCTTTACAAATATCGTCTCGTGTAATCCTTGCAATGACCCTTCGAGGTAGGTGCTGTTATTATCCCCATTTTCCAATTGAGGAAACATAAAGCATGACCCTTAAAGGCTTGCCAAGTGCTTTAGTTCTATACATCCATCATATGGTCTCACTGGAACTTCCCAGTGACCCTGGGAAAGGCCTTATTAGCAGTCCCATTGGACAGATGTGGGGAGCTGAGGCTGAGAGGACACAGGATGTGCCCTGGGGCTCACCCAGCTGGCCACTACTGGTCCAGTTCTCTCTTCCCTCCCAAGTCCTCGATGGCTTCCATTCCCTTGGGGGAGATGTCATGTACATTCATAGGTATACCAAAGCTAGATACCCAACAGATACAGGGGAACTTTGGGGGGTGAGGGGGGCCGACACTAACAGCTGAGGGTGTTCTTCCTCTATATCATGCTGCCTCTTTGTGTGTGTGTGTGTGTGTGTGTGTATACACACACAGCAGCACACACCAGAATGTTTATAATGTGTGTAAGGGAAGGGGCGTGTGTGAGTATGTATATGTGTGTAGACATGTGTAGACCAGGAAAGACAAACTATCTATGCAAATGTGAGTGTGTGTCTATGGATGATGAATAAAAGAATGTGCATATCACCTCCTCCAGATTATTTATAGAAAGACTTTATTTATATAATTATTTATATAATTTTATTTATAAATAAATTTATAAATCCTATTTATATAATTATGTAACAACTTCATATTTTGAATTTAGTTCTATGCATACATGCTCTTTCCCTATCTCGCTTGTAATGCAGTGTAAGCTTCCTGAGGGCAGGAACTTCCTCGGTTTTTTTCTTTTTCTTATTAGCATTTAGTGTAGCACCCTGTACATAGCAGGTTCATAATAATAATGGTAAAAATAATAACTAGCAGTTATAGGGTGCTTTTTCCTCAAGGAGCTTATGATCTAATGGGATACACATAGTAGGTGCTTAATAAATAATGACTTTGTCAAATGAATACGTGTGTCTGTGTTTATAGGCATAAGCTTGTGTATAGAGAATGTGTGCAAGAGAAAACGTGTGTGATCTGACTATGTAAGAAGGGGCGGGGGGTGATAGAAGTGGAGGGCATGGGAGTTTTCGCACATTGTGAAGGTGTGAGTGGTAGTAGCTGTATAAGGGATGTATTGATGGTTGGCACACTGTGTGAGCCCTGGAGAGGACGTGATCACGGCTGGGAGGAGGGGGAAGGCCCGGGGTGTCCACCAGGAGGCTGCAGGCTGGAGATGTGGCCCGAGGGCTGAGCCTTGGAGAAAGCTGAATATGTAGGTGCTGAGTACTGAGACCATCCTAGGAGACCAGGCTAGAATAGAGCGGGGTATAGGGAAACGGGGAGAGATCATGAGCAGGGTGAACTGGGTGGCCTCAGGCTTCTTCTCACCCCTGGAAAATGGTACTTTGCTTCGGGACCTTCATTCAGGCCCCTGGTCCCTTGCTTGGTGCGCTAAGCTGGATATTGCTTCTAGAACCACCTTCACGCCACATGCAGCTGCGATCTCACTATTCTGTCCATGTGGCAGATCCTGAGTCATAGATTTGAACCTTCAAGGGCTCCTCCTCCCATCTTGTCAAATCCAACGGAGAGGAATTTCTTCTTGGGGCTGCATATTGACTTAGAAAACCACAAATTAACATCTGTGTTGTATTGTATTTTTATCTGTTTCCCATGGTTATGTTTTTAATCTGGTTCCATAGGTTTGTGAGTTTGATACCTCTGACCTAGTCTAACCTTCGCATCTGACTTAGGAGGAAACTGAGGCCAAGAGAGATTAAGTGTCTTTGTTGAGTCATTTTTCAGTCATGTCTGACTCTTCCCATTTGGAGTTTTCTTGGCAGAGATACTGGAATGTTTGCCATTTCTTTCTCCAGCTCATTTTACAAATGAGGAAACTGAGGCAGACAGGGTTAAGTGACTTGCCCAGGGTCACACAGCTAGTAAGGGTCTGAGGCTGAATTTGAACTCGACTCTTCCTGACTCCAGGGCGTGGGTTCTGTGCACTATGGCACCACCTAGCTGCCTTACCCAGGGTCAGTGGAAGCACCAAGATTCATACTCGGGTCCTCTAACTTTAAATGCCCTCTCTCTGCTCAGAATCCTGCATAGGGGTTAGAAGGAGATGAAGGTGAGCTTTTCACCTGCATCGCAAAGGGTTAATATACCCCCCCCCCCCCCCCCCCCACAAAAATGCAGTCCCTTTCTGGGGGAAAGCAGAGCCAGGGGATGCAAGAGAGCTTTCTAGACAGCCACAGGCTGGATGACTCCCAGCTCGGCCCGGGCCCCAAATGAGACGTGTCAGAGTACAAATTGGAAATGCCAGTTTCAGTTAGAAACCTTCTCTGTCCATTGATCAGCTCGGCCCCCGGCCCTCTCCCCAGCACCGGGCCATCAAGATGTTCCCCACGCCTTCCAATGGAGCCTCCTCCCTTCCCGATGTTCCCATATCCTCACTGGGCCTCATCTGCCCTCTTCACCTACAGAGAGCAGGTCCTCTCCTCTTCCTCCCCTGCCTGCCCTCCCTCCCTCTGGCTTGTATCTACCCTCAGCTATTTCAGTATGAGGTTTTCTCACTTGTTTTCGGTGTAATAGATTCCTAGAATGTCAGAAGGGACCTTAGAGACCATCTTGTCTTTAGTTCTTAACCTGGGCTACATGAACTGGGATTTTTTCTTTTTTCTTTTTTTTTTTCCTTTTGATGACTATATTTCAGTATAATTAGTTTCCTTTGCAATCTCTGAGTTTTATTTTATGCATTTAAAAACATTATTCTAAGAAGCGGTCCATAGGTTTCTAAAGACTGCTCACGGAGTCCATGACACAAAAATTGTGAAGAATTCCTGATCTAAGCCAATCCCCTCATTTTACAGATGAGGAAACTGAGGCCCCATGCTTTATGCTGCAGTCAAACTGGGCTACTCACCCAAATCCACCTGTTTTCTAGCTCCTTGCCTTCCCTATTCCTCCACTCCCCTCCCTGCTGTCTCTACGTACAGAAATCCTTCAACATCCAGTTTAACCTGGGGCATTTTCGTGAACTTCCTCTTAACATCTCTGGGCCCTTTTAATCATATTCTGCTTCTCTGCAGCTAGATTGGAAGCGCCCTGAGGATAGGCTAAGTCCTGTGTCTCCGCCATCATTCTCTTTCCTGTCTCTCTCGTTTTCCCTTCTGTCCATGCTGTGGCCTGGAATGCTCTCCATCCTTACCTTACCTTCTTCCTTGAAAGCCTGCTTCACGTGTCTCCTCTTCCAAGAGGTTTTTCCTGATTCCTCATTTGCTAGAACTGTACCCACCCTCACACCGGTTCCTTTATTTGGCCCAAGGGGGCAAGTGTCCCTGGGAGGACAGAAGAAGGAGAAGAATTTTCATGAAGGAGGTGATATTGAGGCTTTGAAGGAGGGGGATTTTGACAGAGAGAGATATATCTTCAAGGCATTCCAAGCAGAATCATAAACAAAGGAAGGCACCAATGTAGAGGAAGATAGTTTGTTTGGGGGAACAGGAAGAAATCTTGTCTTCCTGGATGCTTATGAAGGAGCCAGTGGAGATGAGACTGGACGTTTATGTTTCGACCAGTTGTGGAGTGCCAGGCTAAAGAATCAGGACTTTACACAGCAGGCGTAAGACATAGCTTCATCCGGAATGGACTTCAGAAGTCCTGGAGTCTAACCTAAAGGCAGGGGAGATGAGGTCCAGTGACTCGCCTAGGGTCACACAGTTAGTAAGGGTCTCAGATGGGTTTTGAACTCAGGTCTTCTTGACTCTAGGATTAGGTCGCTATTGCTTAGCTGAGCCTGCCTTGCTAATGTGAAATAACCAGAATTGGGAAATCACAAGGAGTAATCCAAGCCTTCCTTCTCTGGAGAATGTTTCCAAAAACTGACACCCATGAAAAAAATGAAAGAACAGCTGAACTCTAAGTCCTCTTTAAGGAATGGCAGAACACTGGGACCTAGGGTGGTCAGGGAAGGCTTCCTGGAGGAGGGGGCGTGTGAGAAGAGGAGAGTAACAGGAATCCATGGTGGAGATTAGGAATGGTGGATGGGGGCTGTTGATGAGCACAGATGCTTTCCACACAGTAAGAGCAGGAGCAGTGATGTGACCTACAGGGGGTCTGGATGAGCCCAGCATATGCAGAATCTGACCTCGTGCACCAGCAGAGAAGCGGGGCCAGTGGGTGCCAACAATTAGGAAAGTCCCCGTGTGCTAGTAATTAGGAAATTCTCCTGACATCAGGAAGGGTCACCCTCGGGGAAGGCAGGACGTCCAAGGTAGGAGGCAGGGGCAGGAGAATAGATGTCATACAAAGCCAGGCAGATCGACTGCTGCAGAATTATATATGTGGGCCAGCTGCTGGTCAGAGTTCAGAGTCAAGGGTGTCTGCTGAAAATTAGGGAGCTTAAATGTAGGAAACCCAGGGAAGTTAACACTTTGTTTAAACTAACATGGCTTTAGGGAAAGTTGAAGGTCTTTTATTCAGGGAGTGTGCGTGCCCTGCTGAGCCTGTGAGCTCGCAGGTGGGGCCACTGACTCGGCCAGCATGGTCAGCCTGGGTGCAGCAGAGACCTGGGGTCTGAAGCTGGAGGTCACAGGGACGTCAGTGACCCTTGAGGGACTAGAGAGTGGAGTGACAGTGAAAACTCAGCTTAGATGAGAATCAAAAGGCCTGTGGGTCAGGGGTGCAGGGATGCACTCATGTGTTGGGAGCCGTCACCATGCATTTCTATACGACCCTAAATCCTGCAGAACTGTCCCCTGGGGGGCTCGGGAGTGTTTGCCAGATCATGGCTTTTCCCTGACATCAGGCTTATGTGACTCGTCCCTGAAGCCCCTTGTCACCCTTCTTCCTGACCAAACGCTCTCTTTATCCCCTCCCACAGTACACCTATGAAGGGAATGACATCAGCGACCTGCCCGTCAACCTCTCTGTTGTGTGGAATGGCAACTTTGTCATTGACAACCCCCAGAACATCCAAGGTGAGTGGAGGGGACTGGACCCCAAGCTGACCATGACCTTGGCCCTGATGCTCCCTGCCATCCTCAGTGGAGGGCTTTTAGAGGGGAGGTTAGAGGGAAGAGTCGAGGAGTTACTAGTAGGAGAACCCTGCAAGGACGCTGGGATGGTAGAATGAAGCAGCTGATTTGGAAAGGCTAGAAGGGGTCAGGTCAGCCTGGCTAGCTCAACCCTGCCCACCTCCCATCCTAAGCAGTTTCAGAAGAGATGAGCCATGGGCCCTCCCCTGACCCCTGCCTTTCCTCTTCTGCTCCTCAGCTCATCTGTATAAGTGCTCTGCCCTTCGTGAGAGCTGCGGGCTGTGCCTCAAAGCGGACCCACGATTTGAGTGTGGCTGGTGCTTAGCTGAGAAGCGATGCTCCCTACGCCATCACTGCCCCGCCCCGGATATTGGCTGGATGCACGCCAGTAGCGGCAACAGCCGCTGCGCAGACCCCAAGATCCTCAAGGTAGGACGGGCATCCGGGAGAGGGGGGAGGGGAGGGCAGAGGAGGGGAAAGGAAGTGGGGATCGTGGTTGTGGGTGAAGGTCCAGGATGAGGATGACAAAGAAAGGAAGGGGCATGAGAAACTAGAGGCAGGATAGAGAAAAGGGAATTGTAAGGCCAATTGGGTTTGCTTTGTACTGTGGCCAATTGCCGAGCCCTGACTTTGGCCTTGTTCTCGCCCCTAATCCGTACCCCTGACCGGACACTGACCTCTCATTCTGGTCACAGGTTGACCCACTAGTCCTAGCCGCAGACTGACCACTAATCCTGACCACAGACTCGCCCTGTCTCTTTGGTCATAGTTCCACCACAAACTGTGGCCGCAGGTTGACCACAGATTCTCCTGACTCTTTGACCATCTTATGATCACAAGCATTAGCCACAGGCTGATCTCTAATCCAGGCCATAGATTGACCCTTCACCCTGGAAACAGGCTAACCCTGTTTCTCTGGCTGTCTCTTATATAATAAGAAATGCCCTTGTTCACGAGGCAAGAATTGGGACACCTCCGTTCAGTCCTGCTCTCTCCTTCTCCTCACTGGTAACATGACCACGAACCCATTCATGCCCCAGGAGGGTGAGTTTTTGTCCCAAGCTGGCTATACTGGTCTTCAGGAGCACCCCTGAGGTTCCATGGGCATGCACAGGGTCAAGGACCTGGGTCTTGCTTCCCCCCTGAGGCTGTCATTAATAGTTAAAGCAGAAGGGAAGAGGAAAGGGAGAAGGGCACCCCTTTGGGCCACATGGATCTTCAGTCAGGGGTACCTGCTGGAGCCAAGTATCAGATCAAATAAATGAGCTCCTAAGAGACAAGGTTTCTGCTGGACACTTGAACCGCTGTGTGGCCCACTGGGCGTTCCATCCTTCCAACCACGACCCAGCTGCTTCTTGTGGTCCTCTTCCCATCTATGGAAGGTCTTTGTCCTTCCTGAAATCTGTGGCCTTTGCCTTCATGCTGACCCACGGTTTGAGCGTGGGTGGCACATGGCCGAGAAGCCCTGCCCCATGTGGCGCCATTCCCCAGCCCCGGCTCTCAGCTGGCCCCACGAGCCACGCTCTGCCGATCCCTCGGCCTCTCCCCAAGGCCACGTCATTGTTCCTTTCTTTCTCCTCAGCTTTCGCCGGAGACCGGCCCTAGGCAAGGTGGTACTCGGCTCACCATCACGGGCGAGAACCTCGGCCTGAAGTTCGAGGACGTGAGGTTGGGTGTGCGTGTGGGGAAGGTGATATGCAGTCCCATCGAGAGTGAATACATCAGCGCCGAGCAGTGAGTGGGGACAGCGGGTGAGGGAGGAGGGGGGCTGATGCACAGTAGAGAAGGGGCCCTTAGCTCGCTGGAGTTCTTGGACCCCTGAGCCCAATCCTGGGGAGAAAGGATTTAATCATTAATCACAGCCCCACCTTTCTACATGCATTGCTTTATTTATTCTTTACTTAAACTGTGAGGAAGGCTGGGCAAGAAATATTTTGTCCATTTTACAGGTGAGAAAATTGAGGCTCAGAGAGTTGAAATCACTTGTCCAGTGAGTTAGTACAAGAACTAGAATGAAAATACAAATCTCTTCACTCCCGTTTCTTGAGGGTAGTAAAAAGAACAACGGATGTATCAGAAGACCTGAATACAAATCTTGCTTGCCAGTTACTATTAGGTGACCATGGGGAAGATCTCTGCAGGCCTCACCTTTCAAATCTGTCGAATGGGGACATTAACATTTCCCTTCCATTTACACTGTATATATCTTGTGTGTGCCTTGGTATTTCTTGTTGTTTCCCCTGTTAGTATGTGAGCCCCTTGAGGGAAGGTGACTCTTACGTTCCTTTGTATGCCTAGTACACAGTAAGTGCTTAAAATGCCTAATCGTCTCGATCGCCTTTGGAAGGAAGGAGCTTTGTAGACCCTAAAGCAGTGTGGAAATGGGAGTTGCTATTGTTGCTGTTTATTATTATTTTTATTTATTCTTTCCATGGCACCTGGACACCTTCCGTTAAGATCAGTGGCCTTTGACTCCCAGGCCGGTGGGCCAAGCAGGCCCCTAAGCAGAGGCATGGGTGGGCGTCACCTTTTGTCAGTCATCCTTTTTCCTTCCTGGAACTGAGGCCCCTGCCTCTTCCGGGCCCCCTTGCATCCTGCTAGAGCTTGGAACATTAGCCAGCTTGGGACGTGAGTTGTTGCCCAGAATATTTTTGTCTCATTTGAGCCTCAAAGGATCGATAGCGCTAGAACATGTCTTAGAGATTATCTCTTCCAACCCTGTCATTTTCTAAAGAAGTGAAATGACTTGTCTAAGGTCACCCAGATCATACATAGTAAAGCTGTTGTGCCTGGTACACAGTAGGCACTAAAGAAATGCTTATTGTTTGAGTGAGCTAGGATTCAAACTCAGATCTTCTGACTTAAAATCTGCTGTTCTTTGCAGTGTTTCTTACTGGCTTTATTTACAAAGGGTGAACATCTTGGGGGTTTGGGCATGGGGGAGGAATGGGCCTTGCAAAGGTTAGTGATGCTCCTTGAGAAGATGTTGGCTTAGTTTGTAAACAGTCAGCCCAAGAGAGAATGGATGCTCAAGAGGGCCTCGTGGGTGGTATGCTGGACGGCGCATTCAAGGCCTCCTCTGACACTTACTCGCTGTGTGACCTGGAAGTGGTCACTTGCCTCATCTGTAAAAGGAAGGGATTGGATCCAGTAACCTTCTGGCTCTACCATCCTAGAAAAGGCCTTTCCAGGCTGCCCCACCCTGAGCCTAGAAGCCATCCCTCTTCTGGCCAACACATCAGGGTGAAATGGAGGAAATGGAGAAAATGGAGTCAGAGGTCCTGGGTTCAAATCCTGGTACTGTTTCTTCCTTGCTTTGTGTCCATGACAAGTCACTTAACTTCTGAACCTCAGTCTCCCCACATGTAAAATGAGTGGGGTGGGGCCGGATGACTTCCATGGTCCACACTCCCGGCCTCTTATTCCTCCATCCTGCCCCCACACTCCTCCTCTTGCTGAGAGCCAACAACAACGACCACCTTGGCTTCCCTCCAGGATTGTCTGTGAGATCGGAGACGCGAGCCTCGGCCGAGCTCACGACGCCCTGGTGGAGGTGTGCGTGCGAGACTGTTCCCCTCACTACCGCGCCATGTCTCCCAAGAGGTTCACGTTCGTGGTAAGACATTCCTTGCCTTCCTCCCCCTGGCCTGTTGGCCAGCCTCACACCCCCTCCAGGGTCCCCAACCCAGCAGCAGACACAGGGAGCTCATAGAAATGTCAGAAATCCTCCAGGTCAACTCCTTCATTTTCTAGGTCTCGAGACTGAGGTCCAGAGAGGGAGGGGACTTGCCTGTTTGTTCTTAGCAGAGCCGAGATTAGAACCCAGGTCAAGCGACAAGCAGCCCCACGCTTCCCCTACCACGACATGTTGTCTGGCGTGCATTCTGAGAGTTCTCAGTGGGGGAGGAAGCCAGTTACCTACAGATTTTTTTCCTTCAGATGGAGTTTCACTAGGCAGGGAAATATAAAAATAAACCTACCTTGTATTTGTGCAGCCTGATATATTTTGCCCAGTATATTTACTGTTCTGTATGGAAGGGAGATACACAAATAGGCATATGCCCATTTACATACTGTGGAGACTTGAAGTGGAGGATGTAAGTGACTTGCTCTGGGCAACGCAGCATTCCTCCAAGGGGTGCAGCCTGGCTCTCCAGTCATTGTTCTTGGAGCCTTAGAGGTTTGGACCGGTCTGGTATCCTGCCCCCCGACCCCTCCAAATGTACTCTTGAAATTGAACCTCAGTGGGTGTCTTCACGGTCAGCCCCTCCTTCCGGAGCACCCAGAAATCCTCCCTGACCTCGTCCTTTTCTCTGCAGACCCCCACCTTCTACCGGGTGACCCCTGCTCGTGGTCCACTTTCTGGGGGTACCTGGATTGGTATTGAGGGAAATCACCTGAATGCCGGCAGTGATGTGGCCGTCTCCATCGGGGGCCGGCCCTGCACTTTCTCCTGGTACGTTGAAGAGTGGGCGTGGGGGCTCACTGTGGGGAGAGGGCAGGAGGAGGGGGCTACAGTCAACTGATGTGGGCACGTTGGGGGTGGGCCTCAGGGCTGTCATGGAAACCACAGAGACGCTCTTGTTGGGGAAAGCTGCCGTGTCGAACCTGGGTTAGGGGAGCTATCACCATGGAAACTCAGAGGAGGGGGAAGGTTACCATGGAAACCCCAGGGATAGAGGAGGGGAGGCAGCTAGGGATAGGGAAGGCTGGAGGCAGGGCTATGCCAGGAGCCATCGGGCAAGGCCGGGGGGCAGGGTCTCTTGCAGACCATCCTTGAGGGGACCCAACGTGGAAAAGGGGTTAGGCCTGGGATTGTGAGAACACTTCAGTTTCAGTCAGCTCTTGGATTGGCACAGACCCAGTCATTCTCTTCCAGGAAAAATTAATCTGGGAGAAAAAGTATTTAAATTTTTGTGTTTTTTTTTTTTAAGAGAGAAAAAAAGAAATGTTAACAAAAGCCCCTAGGCTCGAAGTGGATAATTTTTAGATTAGGGATGATAATGGAGCGGCTCTTTAAATATTTTCCTGCAGTAATTACCAGTTATCAGCACTAATCATTGCTGTTTGCAGCAGCCCAGGGCCTGTGCAGAGATACTGGCCTCAGTTTGGGAAGGGTGTGTGTCTGCTGGTACCTCCCTCTCTGGGCCTACTCTGTTGGTACAGTTAAGCCTTGATTACCTGCAGTTCCTTAGGGGAATGCTGGGGAATTTGCCTTATTGAGTGACTGAGGGGTGACCTTTTGCATTCCAACCCTTGTGTCTTGGAAACCTTCCTATCCTTGGTGAGGGAGTGGAAGTGATTCTGTACAGTACAGCCCCGCTGTGGGGGAAAAGTGTGTGAATGTGTGTCTGCGTGTGTGTGTGTATGTGTGTTGGAAAGAGAATTTTTAATGGAGAGAATAGAGTCCCAGTACAGAGGCTCCACACAATTGAATTATAGAATAGAGACAGAATGGACCTTAAGGATCACTCAATTCAAGCACCTCATTTGACTAATCAGGAAACTGAGGGAGGGCCAGAGACAGGAAGGAGATGCTCCAGACCTCCGAGGTGATAAGTAAATGGGAATTATACCTCCCACGTCGCCATACTTTAGAGGGAAAATAAAGAGGCTGATAGCAGAGGGAGATATGGAGGATGAAACAGAGAGGGACTCAGCAGGAACAGAAACAAAGGAAACTGTGACCATCAGGGAAGACCGGGATGAATCCTGCCTTCTCTGGCGTCCATCCCAGGCCTGAAGACCACAAGTCATCTCCAAAATGCACCCATTCCTAGACACGGACAATTGGATGAGCGTGTGTGTTTGCATGTGTGCGCACACAATTTTCGCATGAGCATATGTGTTCTGTTGGTGATTTTCAGTCTATGTAGTGGTGTTGGTTTTCTTGGGATCATGACAATGAAGATGTTTTGAGCATGATCAAAGGTCCACAGACCCCAGGCAGACAACCCTGGGATGGGGCCTGTGGCCCGTCTTCCCTAGCTCAAGTATAGGCAGAGGTGAAGATGGGTGGTATTTAGGTTTCAAGAAAGAGATTGGAGTCTGGTGAGAAAGGCACTCAGGAAAGCAGGAGGAGCTGAAGTTTTGGATGGAGCTGACCTGTCCTGTCTTGAAAGAGATCCAATCCAGGACCCTGGGCATCACTGACAACAGGGAGCTCTAAGGGACCACTGATGATGGAAAATGGCAGGAAGTGTGTTTGAACTCTCTTGGTCCCAGCGCCCTCCCTACCAGAATCATAGTTTAGTGTGTATTTTCTAGGGTTTTCTAGGTAAACCATCATGCAGTATTGAAACATATACTGTTGATATATTTTTTGGTTTCCCAACCTGGGCTTTGCAATATTATCTCATCAAAATGAATTAATTTGCTTATTTATTTCTTATGAGAATATTCTGGGTAAATACTAGAATTTGTTTCCTTCCATTTTGAGTGGGGAGCATTTAAGGGAAGGTTTATTACTAAAAGCCCAGGGGTCCAGACATGTCCTGATCTAGTCTTAATATGGATGAGGAAGCCATATCCTAGAAAAGTCCAGGGGTTTGTCCAAAGCCACCCAGGTTCTAAGGACCAAATGCCATGTTCACACTCAGGGGCTCTGACTTCAAATCCAATGTTCTTTTCCCTAGACCGTGCTCATGGCCACTGACCTCTCTCCCCTCTTTTTTCCCCCAGGAGAAATTCCCGGGAAATCCGCTGCCGCACCCCCCCAGGACAGAATCCTGGTGGTGCCAACATTGTCATCAACATTAACCGGGCTGAACTCAGCAACTCTGATGTGAAATACAATTACACCGAGGACCCTACCATCCAGAAGATTGACCCTGAGTGGAGTATTAACAGGTAGAGAACAGAGAAGGATTATCAGGGCACTGCCAGGGCCTGCCTCTGGGCTCCAGCCAGCAAAAGAGGGGCTGCTTAGGTATAGGACAGAGGGAGAAGGGTCCAAGGCTAGTCCGAACCTGGGTCATGGTGGTGTAGCTCATGGCTTGCCTGCCTTGGAGTCAGCAAGATCAAAGCTCAAACCCCACCTGGTATACTTATTAGCCCTGTGACCCTGGGTAAATCCCTTAATGTCCCTGGGGCACAATTTCTTCATCTATAATTTGAGGGGGCTGGGCTAGTTGGCTGCTAAGGGCCCTTCTGCCTCTAAATCTAGCATCCTAACAAATTCTGGGTAGGGGAACCATTCCTTGGACCCCGGGAGCTATGAGTAGGTACTTTGGAGATGGGGATTCAGGGGCATTTGAGGCAAGGGGGCAGGTCCCTAACTTGTAAGCAATCCTTTCCACTGTGTGATTCCTATCTGAAATTAGTTCCAAGGAAGGCTTTTATCTCTGCAAATGAGTGTGTATGCTGTCCTGGTCAGAAAACAGGTCTTCTGTGATTCTTCATGTTTGGGGGCAGTCAGGCCCCAGAAAGCTCAGACCTAAACCAAGTGTTATAAATCTACTCAACTCAGGTGCCTGAAAGCATCAGTTTGTCCTTCTATCAGATGGTCTTTCTTCTGTTTTATCTTTAATTGTCTTATCTCACACTATGTATTTTAATCTGTAAACCATCTCGAGTCTTTCTGGAAGTAGGCCTGGTACAAATCGAGCAGCAGTGTAGATAAATGGATGGCAGCTCGGTCCTGCTGTACCAGTTGGAATTCTGAGCTATCTTAGAGTTTTTGGGGAGGGAGAGACAGAGCCAGCCCTTTCCCTGGCTTAGCTCTGTGCAAAGCTAGTGACTGAGGGCCAGGAGGAGTGAAAGCCTGACCTAATGGTGGGTGAGTTTGGAGGCGGTCAGGAGTTGCCGTCCCCCAGGTGACCCATGTATCCCTCTGGCCCCCCAGCGGCGGAACACTCCTCACCGTCACGGGCACCAACCTGGCCACTGTCCGAGAGCCCCGGATTCGTGCCAAGTATGGCAGTGCTGAAAGGGAAAACGTGAGTATTCATGCCTGCCTATGTGCAGAGGACCTGGAACCTGCTAGAGCCTGGCCCCAGCCTGCTTCCGTGTCCTCCACATACACTTGGATCTAACCAGGCCAGCCTGATCCCCACCCCTGCCCCAGCCTTTCTAAACCCCACAGAGCCTTCAAAGCCCAGGGCTTTATTGTTTGTGGTCCAATACTGACTGACCGCCAACTGCTAGCCCATAGCAATCTCTTCCTCTTCAGCCCCTATAGCATTCAAGTCTGTGTTGTTCATTACAATTGGCTACCCACCTGCACCCTTAAGTTGCCCATGTGTGACTCTCATGTCCCCAAGTAAACGGTGATAGTCTCAAGAGCTAGGCCCCGTCTCTTGTTCAGCATCCAGCGCAGGGCCTGCCCTCTTGGCGGAGGTCGACAAAGCCCCTGTTAGATGGTTTATTGATGTGCTGAGTGTCTTCCTTCGTGGGTCAGCAGCTGCTCAGGCTTGGGAATTTTCTTGAGACCCCTCCAATATTGCAAGGACACACAGCAGCTTTCCCGCCTCAGTCCAGAAATGCCGCCGGCTCTGGAATGGAGGACCCCATACATTTCTGTCTACCGTGTCTCCACGGCATCGCGCAGAACAGAGCCCTGGCTGATAGAACAGATTAGGGGGTCGCTGTGTCCAGAACGTGACAAACCACTTCCCCAGATTGCAGAGGTGATCTGTCCCATCCGTCAGGTCATCAGTCCTTTGAACAGAACGGCTTCCTGACATCTATCCCAGATTTGTCCCCTTGGAACATCTACCCATTGTTCCTGCTTCTGCCCTCTGGGTCCAAATGCATCAAGTCTACAAACACATGACTGCCCTTCAGTTACTTAAAGAGGGCTATCATGTTCCCCCAGGGTTTCTCTTTGCCAGGCTAAACATGAACCAGTCCTCATGTGACACAGAATTAAGTCAGCAAGCTTTCCTTTTTTTAAAATAAATTTTTATTAATATTTTCTGTTTCTTACATCCCCATAGTCACCTCCTGTGTCTCTCCCCTTTGCCCACCCCCTCCCAGAGAGGCCCCATGGGACGGATCAGGAAGCCTTTTTTTTTTTTTTTTAATTTTTTTTTTTCGGGAAGCCTTTCTTGAGTCTCTCCATGGGGGTCTTGTGTGTCCCCAGCCTCGTGCTGGGGAGCATGGACCAGGGAGGAGGGGGAGGGCGAAACGAAGGGAGGAAGAAGAGACGCAGATCCTACCTTGGGTAGGGGCTTATGGTCTAGCTGGGGAGACCAGCCAGGAAGACAGAGATCAGTACAAGATGGTCTGCAGAGATGGGCAGGAATTTATAGTCCTGCAGCCAGCATTCGAGGAATTCCAAGGAAGAGCAGTGATCTGTCATCTAGCCACAGAGCCGGGCCAACGTGTTGACAGTCTCCAGTATTAGTGTTTCTGTGGCAGAGCGGCACATTTCTGCATTTGTCCCATGTTTCCTACAAGGGAAATCTGAGATGAAGCAGGGGGCAGAGCATTGGTTCCCCAGCTCTTCCCCCATGCCCTTCAAGCCCCAAAGCCAAAGAGGAGGACAGCTTCCCCTAAATCTTCCTTAGGTTCAGATGCCTGCCTTGACCTTCCAAAACCATCTTCTTCTTTTCTCTGGGTCTCCAGACTTGTATGGTGTACAACGACACCACCATGGTGTGCCAGGCCCCGTCTATTGACAACCCCACCCGGAGTCCCCCTGAATTGGGTGACCGGCCAGATGAATTGGGCTTTGTGATGGACAACGTGCGATCCCTGCTCATTATCAACAGCACCAACTTCCTCTACTATCCTGATCCCGTCTTTGAGCCCCTCAGCCCCTCTGGCATCCTGGAACTCAAGCCCAGCTCCCCCCTCATCCTCAAGGTAGGTTTCTACCCCTGAAATTTCTTAAGTCTGCCATTTTGTGCTTGTAAGGCTAATGGGAATAAGGGAGCAGGTGCTAGGCAGGGCCAGGCAGATATTGATGGAATCGGAAAGGAGAAGGGATGTGTAGGGGGACGAGTGATGGAGCAGGGGGCTGTGGTCTCAGGGGATTTAACAACCTCCCTCTTCTTCCAGGGCCGGAACCTCCTCCCTCCTGCATCAGGGAACTCCAGGCTCAACTACACTGTGCTCATTGGGTCCACACCTTGTGTGCTGACTGTGTCTGAGACCCAGCTGCTGTGTGAATCACCCAACCTCACTGGTCAGCACAAAGTCACGGTACGTGTGCCTGCCAAGGGGCCCTGGTCACAGGGAGCTGCCCACCACTCCTGGACCCTCCCTTATGCATTGCAGAAATACTGCTTCGTGGACGTTCATCCATTTGTGCATTCCAACATTCATTTATTAAGCACCTACTGTGTGCCCCATAGCTAAGCAGGGAACATAAAGAGTCATCATGGTACAATGGAGGGAACACTGGATTTGGAGTCAGAGAATCTGGGTTCAAATCCTATCTGCCACTGACTGTGATTTTGGGTCTGTTAAAGAACACTTCTCAGGGCCTCAGTTTCCTTGTCTGGAAAATGAAGAGGTTAGACTAGATAACTGTTCAGGTCCTTTCCATTTCTAATCCTATGATCCTGTGCCTGTCCTGGGCCTAAGAAGTGACTGAACCACGTTCCATGGCGAAGAATGACTGACTCGTCATGGTGGACCTGGAATTTAAAGCCAGGCCTCTTGACTCACAAGTCAGGCCCCTCCCTCCTGGATAGTGCTATTCTGTGCCCATCCTAACATGCCCTTCCTTCCTCAGCCCATGCTGCTTAGGGGCTGCAAGCACTGGAAGCAAGAGGACAGCCCAGGAATTCAGATGTAGTGGAGCATAATGACTGAGTGGTCTCTCAGAGGCCTAGCGTTACAAAGAGAATTGTTTCCTGTGATGCTGTAGGACAGGGCTCTCATGCTTGCGTTATCCCCTTTTGAGTTTAAGCATCTTTCTTTGGCCATTCCCATTGCCTCGATATTTCCCTTCTCCATGGCTTCAGGGAGCCCGGGGGTACCTCAGGGGAAAGAGCTGATGACTCAGTGAGGAGTGGTTTATAGGATTATAGGACAGTTATAGGATAAATGCATCATGGGGCAGTGGGACGGGCACTCTACTGGAGTGCTGGAGACCTGGCTCTTGCAAGTCAAGGTCTTCCTCGATTTGTCCTTGAGACATTGAAGATATTTGCTTTCCTCTCAGGGCTTTGGTTCCATCCTCTGTGTGATAAGAGGGATAGACTAGATCCAATTAAATCCAATAAACTTTTATTAAATGCCTACTGTGTGCTAGGCCCTGAATATAGAAAGGCAAAATTCAAAATCATCCCTGCCCTCAAGTAGCTTACCTTTACTTTGGGGTTCTTAACCTTTTTTTTTTACATGGGCCCCTTAGGCAATTTACTAAAGTCTGTGGGACCCTTCTCAGAATCGGAATCACATTTTAATTGCAAAACATGAAATGATAAGAATACAAGGGAAACCAGGTCTATTGAAAAAGTTCCAAAATATTTTTTTAAAACAAGTTCCCACATCCAGATTAAATTATCTTCATGGTCCGTCCCCCCCCTTTTTTCCTTTTTTTTTCTTTTTTCTTTTTGGTGAGGCAGTCGGGGTTAAGTGACTTGCCCGGGATCACATAGCTAGTAAGTGTCAAGTGTCTGAGACCGGATTTGAACTCAGGTCCTCCTGACTCCAAGGCTGGAGCTCTATCCACTGCACTACCTAGCTGCCCCTATATGGTCCCTTTCGGCCCTGACATTGTCATTCTGGGGTTCTAGGGAACCCACTCAAGGACACAGAGAGCCCCAGTTGTCCAAGAGATCTGTTCTTGGTCTAGAACATCTGCCTACTTTCCAGGGAGAGCCATCGTCAACACCATCATTTAACTAGTTGAATCCCGGCATGCCCAGGGCCAGTGTTGTCATAGGCATGGCCTGGTTCTGGGCATTCCGGTGTCAGAGAGGAAGGATCAGGCTCTCTATCCCTGGAATTCCTCCCTGGTGACTGGAGAAGAGTTTTCCTCTCAAAATCTGCTGCCCCTTCCCTTCTGCTCTTCCTAGACTCCCTCTGTGGGTGTTGTTTCACACCCACATCCCGATCCGCCCCCACAGCTCACCTTCCCTGCCTTTCATCCGATCCTTTCCCCTCCAGATCAAGGCAGGCGGCTTTGAGTTCTCACCGGGGACGCTGCAGGTATACTCGGACAGCCTCCTGACTCTGCCGGCCATCATTGGCATCGGGGGCGGTGGGGGTTTGCTGCTACTGGTCATCATCGTCGTCCTCATTGCTTACAAGCGCAAGTCCCGGGATGCTGACCGCACCCTCAAACGCCTGCAGCTCCAGATGGACAACCTGGAGTCCCGAGTGGCCCTCGAGTGCAAGGAAGGTAAGGGAAACGAATCTCTTGCCTGCCTGGCCAGGAGCTGGGACATCATCATCACCCGTAGCCTCTATGTGTCCCAGAAACCTTAGAGCAGTTTATTAACCTTTGATGGCTTTGAACTACATTATCATCCTCACCATAGCCTTCATATAGGGTGTCCCAAAAACATTGGAGCAGTTTATTAACCAAAAGATTTTTGGGACACCCAGTGTTACCACTTTGAGGTTTGCAAAGGCACTTTACATGTGTTAGCTCATCTGGTCTTTGCAACAATCTTGGGAAGTAGGTGCTATTGTTACTTCCATTTCACAGATAGGGAAAGTGAGGCAGACAGAGGTGAATAATTTGCCCAGGCACATGCTGGATTTGAACTGGGGTCTTCCTGAGTCCAGACCAGGCCCTCTGTGTACTGTCTAGCTGCCGCTGCTCACATTTAAATGGTGCTTTGCTATTCACACAGCTCTTTCCACTCAATAATCCTTCGTGTAGGTAGTGTGTAAACAGTTTTATTCTCAGAAGGTGAAATAGTTTGTTCAGGGTCATAGCTAGAAAGTGTCATAAGTCATAAGGACTCAAAGCCAAACCTTTTCACTCTTTAAAAAGGGTTTTTTAATTGATGACTTTTGTTCTCGGTTTCTCCTTGATCCTGTTAGGTGTCCCCTCCTCCAGCACTCACACCTAACAAAGAAAATCAGTTAACCAAAAAGGCCTGGTAGACTGGCCACTTCTAACAGTGTACACAGCATTCTGACCCCATGACCCTCCTCCGCTTACCCAGAGGAGGGAGTTTCATCTGTTGTCTGTCTCCAACATTGGCTTGTGATGATTCTTCAGAGTTTGGCTTCCTTTGGGTGTTCTGTTCAACAATATCATCTGAACCTTTTGTGTGGCCCCTTTGGCAGCCTGGCGTAGCCCATGGAGCCTTTCTAAGAATCATGTTTTTAATGTGTAAAATAAAATACAGAGGATGACAGCAGTAAGCAATTATATTGAAATACAGTTGTCAAAATATTAGGAAAACAAAGTCATGGACCCAGGTTAAGAATCTCTTTCTCTCTCTCTTTCCCCTTCCTCTCTCCCTCTTTCCCTACCTCCCTCTTCCTTCCTTTCTTTCTCTCTCTCTCTTTCTGTCCTTTCCTTCTCTTCCTCCTTCTCTCTCTATTTCTCTCCCTCTCCTTCTCTTTCTCTCCCTTTGTTCTTTTTCTCCCTCCCTCTCTCCCTTCCTTTCCTTCTCTTCCTCCCTCCCTCCTGTCTCTCTCTCTCACTATGTATATATATTCTCTTTCTCTCCCTTCTTTTTCTTCCTCCCTCTCTCCCTTCTTTCTCTTCTTCCCTCCTCTCTCTCTCTTTCACCCCCTCTCCCTCTCTTTCTTTTTCTCCTTTCTTTCCTTCTCTTCCTCCCTCCCTCCTCTCTCTGTCTCTGTCTCTCTCTCTCTTTCTCTCCCTCTCCTCTTTCTTTTTCTCTCCCTTCTTTCTCTTCCTCCCTTCTTCCTCTCTCTCTCTCTCTATATATATGTATATATTTCTCTTTCTATCCCTCCCTCTCTCCCTTCCTTCTTTCCTTCTCTTCCTCCCTCCTCTCTCTGTCTCTCTCTTTCTCTCCCTCTCCTTCTCTTTCTTTTTCTCTCCCTTCTTTCCTTCTCTTCCTCTCTCCCTCCCTCCCTCCTCTCTCTCTTCCCATCTACCCCTGCATCTCTCTATTGACATATAATTAAAGTCCTAGTGTATTTTGTTCTTCTCTTTTGGCTTATTTCACTCAGCATCAGTTCATCCAGCTTTTCCTCCGTTTCTCAGATCATTCCTCCCATTGCCGTGTCTTCCTGCACAGGAATATTCCTTTATGCCCATGTACCCTAGTTAGTTCAGCCATTCCCTAATTGATGGTCAGCCACCGCTCTTTCCACCATGTCAGGCTTTCTCTCATTCTAAATGCTGCTCAGCAGGAATCAGCCGACATGTCCCCTGCCTCATTGATGCTTAAAACCAAGGCTGATAACAGTGACATAGCCAGATACAGTGACAGCTAAGCCGGCATTGAATTTCATTGACTTTACGGATTAAAGAATGCATTAGCACTGCAGTCTAGGGCGGTGTGGTGAGTTCCAGAACGAACGTACCTCCTAAGGTTTTCATGAGGGTAAAAAGTGGTGATGCATTTAAAGTTCTTTGCAGGCTTTGAAGTGCTAAGAGATGGCATCGTCATCACTGCCACCATCATCATTTTCATCATTTTTATTAGTATGATTATACAAGCAACCAGTTAAGGATGTTGGCTCCGAGGCCAAGAATCAATGTGAATAGAGGGGGCTGGATTTCCTGATCTGGTGGGAGGAAACTTGCTGCCTCTTTGTCAGGGGCATGGAAAGCTTCCTGAAGAAAGAGGTTTCTGCCCGACTGAGAGAAGGGAGAGGGCTTGGTCGTCTGGTGGGTCATCTCCCTCCAGCCGCGGGGCCTGGACACAGCAGCCAGAGGCGGGTAACACTGAGCAGGGCAGGAGATGATGCTGTCGTAAGATGCAGACAAGTGATGAGGATGGACATAGCTAGTATCTACAAAACAATTTAATGCGGACAAAGCACTTTACATATATCCTGCCTGTGATCTTCATAATTCATACACTATGAGCGGGGTGTCATTATTATCCCCATTTTATAGATGAGTAAACTGAGCCTGAGAAGCTAATAAGTGTGTGAGGGCAGGATCCGAATTCAGGTCTTCCTGGCTCTGAAGCTAGCCCTCTAACCACTGCACCACCCAGCACCTTTAGTCCAGGTCAGCATCATGAGGCTCTAGCTGAGGGTAAGGTTGTGGGCTTGCTGGGCAGGACAGTGGCAGGCCATAGTAAAGAACCCAACGCCCTTCTCTTTTCCTTCAAGAAAGATCCTATGACAGGAGAAGACTCGGGAACCTACCCTAGTCCCAGTTCTTTTATTGTTTAGCTCTGTGACCTTGGGCAAGTCACTTCCTTTTCCTATGCCTCAGTTTCCTGTTCTGTAAAATGAAGGGGTTGGTTGAGGTCATCTTCAGGGTCCTTCTAGGTCTCCATGCATTCCATGAAAATGAAGAGTGTATCATGTCCAAAATGAATTGACTCGAGGCGGGTAATCCAGGGAGGAAGAGGAGGAGAATCCAGCCATTTGGTGTAGCCCTTGGCCCAAGGCATCCTTGGACTACCTACCTTTATACCCTTCTAGGGACTTTCTTGTTCTTCAGTGTTCTCATGATGTGGGGAGATGTCAGACTGGGGGGCTTCCTGGAGGAGGGGGCCACTTGGCGTGGTTCCTGTTCTTCCCCACCTCGTTCCTCACCTGCTGTGTCCCAGCTCTCAGTTTGTCGGGGGTTTGGAGGAGACACGGGGGTGCCCTCAGAGCACAGAGAAAGGACCGCTCCAGAGAATCAGAAAATGGCAAAATCATCCCTTGTCTCCTGGCACGATGGAAAGATGATTAGGGTTGGAGTCGCAGGGTCTGGGTTCAAATCCCATCTTTGTTACTTAGCACATTTTTGACCCTGGGGAAGCCTTTAAACATCTTTGGGTCCCAGTTTCCTCTTCTATAAAATGGGGGTGTTAGATTGAATGACCTCTGGTTCCTCCTAACTCTGTGAACCTGAGATTCTTCAACTCCCCAACCTATATCCACTGCTTTACTCGAGTAAATCTGTTCTAGGCCCCCTCTGGTCTGTCTTAGAACCTTGGCCTAAGCCCAGAGTATCTCCCCTGCTCAGCTCACATGAAGCAGCATATGAAATGTTACCTCCTCCAGGAAGCCTTCCATGGTTCTGGAAGGGAAGCCTAAGAGTCATGATGGTGATGATACTAACAGTGATCACGAGGGTGATGATAGGAAAGAACCACATGGGAACAAGAGGAGGGTCAGTACATCCCTGTGGTCCTGTCTGCTGTGGTCCCTGGAAGCTGGCACTTTGCTTATCTAGTCCTGCTTGGATTCAGCTACAAGAAACAAGATATTTTATCCACTGTGGACTGTTACATATTAGAGAATAATAGAAAGATAGTGACTTTTAGAGAAGATAGAGAAGAACACGGTAACAATAACAATATTAGTAACGAGAGTGATGACCATTCCCATTTCTGTAGCACTTTGGGATTTCTAAAGTGCTTTCCCCACCACAGGCTTCTGAGATGAGGAGTGACAGTATCCCTAGCTTAAAATAATGTATTTTCTTTCATAGATGGGGAAACTGAGGCCTTCAGAGGTCTGGTGGCTTGTCTTGGGTTGGTCACCCAGTTAGTAAGTAGCCTGGATCTGAGCACAGTGTTTCCCATGATACACCCAGGACTCTTTCCACTAAGGCACGGGGCACAAGTCTGTACATAGTTATCTGGGTGGTGCCCGGGATAGCGCACTGAATTTGGAGTCAGGAAGACTTAAGTTCAAATCTTCCCTCTGCCCCTTTGTAGCTCTGTGGCCCTGGTCAGGTCACTTAACATCTGCCTGCCTCATTTTCCTCAACTAGGGATAATAAATGGGGATCGATAATGGGACCTGTCTTCCAGGGGTGTTGTGAGGATCAAATGAGCTAACATTTGCAAAATGCTTAGCACAGTGCCTGACACATAGTAGGTGCTTAAGAAATACTTGTTCCTCCGTCCCTCCCTCTCAGCCTTCTTCACTCAATTTCAAAATGAGGATAATGATAGTGCCTACCTCGCAGGGTTGTTGAGATAATATAGGTAAAGTGCTTTACAAACCTGAAAAGGCTTTATTGATTTTTGCCATTATTATAGTCAGATGGTAGATTGGGGGGGGAGGGGTGTGTGTGTGTGTGTGTGTGTGTGTGTGTGTGTGTTCACCTCCCCACCCCATGTATATGTCTCTAAACACACACACACACACACACACACGCACGCACATGCACACATCTCCCATATAGCTATGGAAGGTCAGAGAAAGGAGAGGTCATCGTGGGCTGGGGTTATTTCTCCTTTGGGGCCCATTTGACAGTGCTGTGGTGCTGACTTAGGAGTCCGATGAGGTGGGGCTTGAAGTCAGCCCTGAGGAATGTTTGCAATTTGGACAGAAGTCAGGGAGGGTGAGGGAAGTCTATACTAAGGAATGTGAACAGACTTTCTAAGATGGAAATGGGATTGGCTTTCTTAGGAGACTGGGAGGAGAGGCAGTTCAGAGACCTGGGATTTGGGATTCAGCAGGCCTGCCTCTGCTGCTTAAATTCTGTGTGGCCTTGGACAAGTCTCCTAACCTCTGGGTCTCTCTTTCCTCCTCAGTCAGCCAGTCAACAGAAAGCATGTATTAGGCACTTGCTGTATGCCAAACAGTGAGCCACATTTTATAACCGAGGGGGTTGCTCCCAGTAACCTCCATGGTCTTTTCCAGCTCATACCCACCTGGTGGCAGGGGAAAGTTTGTCTGGAGCAGCAATGCTTAGGGAAGTTTGGAGTCAATCATGAGGGTCCTTGATTATTAGACTGAGTGGTTTGAACTTGGCCCTCTAGACACCAGGTAACCCCTGAAGGTGCCTAAGTCTGAGGAAGATGATTCCCAGAGTAGTAACAGGCACCTCGGGCAGGACAAATAGAAATCCCCATGTTCCCTGGCCTGGCCCCCTTGTTGGGAATTTTGGGGAAGGGATAAGTTTTCATGAAGAGACTGAAAGTGGTTCCAAGTTGGGAAATAGAGGAAAGTGTGTGTGTGTGTGTGTGTGTGTGTGTGTAAGGGGGTGGCAGCTTATTATGCGGCTGCTGCCTGCTGGGAATTGAGCCCAAACATCTCTCCATGTCCCACTGTCAGGGCCTAATTGCCCATTATCTCCACGAGCAACTGCCTGGGCCCATGACCCTGCCAGGCAGCCTAGCTGGGGAGGGACCCAGGCCCTGGACACATGATAATAAAAGCATTTGGCATGGGGCGGGGGAGACAACAGTGCGGGGCTGCCAGAGAGATAAAAGGAAACAGCTTTTAATTAAAAGCTGCCATCTCGGCAAACGCCTTTCTCTTTCCTCTTCCACCGGACCCAGATAAGATAGAGCATCTTCTCCGCTGCTGGCTTGGTCCCTGCCTCAGGCGGCTGAGACTAGCCTGCTTGGCATGGACTCACGCTCTCTTTGAAGTTCCTTAATTTGATTTCAGACAATGCTGTGAGGTCCTCCCCCACAGCCCCCGAAGATTCCCTCCCTGAACTTTTCTCCCTTTTGTGAAAGCCCCAATCTCAGGATATTCTTTCTTTCTGTCAGAGATAGGGAATGAATGGACTTTTCTCCATTTCTGCCAGGCCTGGACTAGTGAGGGAGAAGAGAGGATCGTAATTCAGATGAGCCAATCCCGCCAATTGCCCCGTCTGCGTTTTCATGTCCCCATCTGTCAGATAGGGACAATGATTTCCCGCTTTATCTACCCCACCCCAGTTGTGCAAATGCTTCCAGAAATCCAGAGGTGCTTTGTAGATGAGTCAAGTCTGAGAGGTTTCTTTGGTTGTGCCTGAGATCAGTTTTAGGGCCCTCACCTTCTGGTGCCTCTAGGCTCTCAAGACCTAGACATCCTGGGTGATGGGGAAACCATTGCTCCAAACTAGACTTTGCTTCCCTTCCTGACCCCTCCCCTTCTCATATTCTTCCTTTAAATGCCCTTTAGCGAGTGGCCGAAGAGGGGAGCATGGGACCTTTGTTTTATGAATGCATAGACTAGAGAGCCACATACAAACACACACACACACATACACACACACACACAGAGCGGCTGCCGTCTGCTCTCACCATCAGCCCTAACCCAACAGCTCCCTCCCCAGCACTGCTCTTATGCTCCTCAACCTTTTCCCCTTCCTTGCTACCAAGATCATCTAAACTCCAATTTCATGGTACTATAAAATTGACATTTTTTGACCCTGAAGGGACCTGAGAATGGTTAAGTGTTAAAACATAGAATGTTCGAGCTCTAAGGGGACTTAGAATATAGAATGCTGTAGCCAGGCCTTAGAACATGGAACCTCCAAACCTAGAGTATCAAAACTGGAAGGAACTCTAGAATGTCAAACGTTAAAGCCCAAGGGGCTTTAGAAGGGAGCTCAGAACATTTTACTGGTCGAAAACCATTTTATAGAGAAGGAAACTGAGTTTTGTGAGGGCACTTTAATTTTCCTCCCCGGGGTTTTAGTCCTAATCCATGATATATTTCCTTTCTTCTTTTGTTTTCTGTAGTATCTTTTTTTTCTTCCCTCAATCCACTCCCAAGCCCTTCCGGGGACTCACAGTCTAGTTAGGGAGACGGGATGCAGGCATAATGGGGTGACATTTGTTAAGTACTATAACCAGGAGGGATAAAGGATGGCTGCCATAGGTAGGTCAGAGGAGACCTCATTGAGGAGTCAAGATTTAAGCTGGTCCTTGAAGGACAGGTAGAGATTAGTTTAATAGAGATGCTAAGGGAGGCATTGGGTGGTGCTGAATGATGGTTTGAGAGGAAGCAGGAACACACATGTTTTCTATAGGTAACAGTGAGCAGACCCATCATTTTTCCTGACCATTAGAAGATAGGAAATGGGCAAGAGGTTCTCTTTCTAGGCCACTTATGGGGAGACTGAGGCCTTGACCGCCTAGGGAAGGACTCAGTTTCCATTTAGTGACCTGGTCACTGGCATCTCAGATCAGGGCAATGATTCAGGATCTTCCCTCTCCCTCCCACCAGTCTAAACTTTCCCATCCCATGCATAGCCTGTCAGGGCTCTGCTTGGTGACAAGAGCTAATCTAAGAAGCTAATTCAGGCTGTGTTAATTAGCATCTGATTAGAGCTTAATGTACTCTCCCTCCCAGTCAACATCTTCATTTTAACAGTGATCTCTAAAATTCCCCAAACGAATAGATATTTAATGGTGGAAAGTTAGGCACTGTGACTGGTCAGTGGGGGAGACATTTGGGGCTAATGGAGCCTTTAGGTCATGCTCCTCAGCTCACATCCAAACCCTGCTCTCTGAGTGGTGGCTTGAATCTGCACGGCCTCAAGCTGTTACTGGGCCTGCGGGGTCCTCCAGTGGAGGAGAAGCCAATGGTATGGCCTTCTCCACTTCCATTGGTCCTTCACTTTCTTCCTTCTCTCCTTTGCTGTCCAGCCTTTGCAGAACTGCAAACAGACATCCATGAGCTGACCAATGACCTGGACGGAGCTGGCATCCCCTTCTTGGACTATCGCACCTATGCCATGAGGGTCCTCTTCCCGGGCATCGAAGACCACCCGGTGCTGAAGGAGATGGAGGTAGGTGCCCCACCGAGGGGTGGGAGAATGGAGGGCATCTTCCCAGTCATCAGTCTTTTGGCAGAAAGCATTGGACAGCTAGGCAGTAGATGCCCTCAACATTACCTTCTTCAAGAGGGTCTCTTCACCCCTGAAGAGTAGTAACAAGATGCCAGGGAGGTCCCAATAGAACCCCTTTGAATGGCTCTGGAATGGAATAGGAGGTGAATGTGAATGGGGATCCTTCTATAAGCAAGTCTAATTGTCTTGTGTTTTGAGAGGGGCAAGGGAAGGGGGGGAACACTCTAGGGGTTTTAAGACAGGTTTCTCCAGAATTAAGAGTCCAATAGGGGACTTTGATTAAAAATAAATAGATTGTAAAATAATGAGGTTGAACCTGAACATATTTTCCAGTCCATATGATCCTATGTTTGTTTTTTTCCTGTTTGCTCCCTTGTTATGAAACCCTCTACATCAAAGAACAGTTAAGCAAAACAAATCAACTCATTGGCCATTTCTGACCATGTATGCCTCATTCTGTGCCTGTAGTCTACCACCTGGAACGCCCGCTTCGGGGTCCCGGGGGTGGGAGTGGGAGATCACTGCATTGGCCAAAATTCTGAAGCCTTTCATTGTTGTTTTCCTTCTTATCATCGTAGTTATCGTATAGAATTTTCTCTTGATCCCATTCTCCCTGAGTTTCTCTAAAATTCTTTTTATTCTCTGTTCCTTCCAGAGTAATAATATTCCATTACACTCAAATACCACAGTTTGTCAGGCTGTCTGCCAGCTGATGAACTCTCGCTTTCTTTCCATTTTTTCTATTACAAAAGTTGCTACTATGAATATACATATATACATAATACATAAATATATATGTAAATTTGGGGAGGGTATATCTCATGTTTCTTTCCACAATTCAGGAGCATCCAGGATTCAGTGCTTTCTCTCTCCCAAATGCTCCAAACGGAATACAATGGGGCAGAAGGCTCACGTCCGGCAGCTCATCCCAGCACCCTTGAGCTTCCCCAAATATGTCTTCCTCCCCTGAGGTGCTCTCCCAGCAGAGTCTTAATTGGTGGGAAAGTCAAATCAGCCCAAAGAAGAGTTTCCCTGTTAGACCAGGCCTTTGCACAATGACCCCCCGCGTGGTCATTGGTAGGCAGGGCCATACGGACACAGGATTTGGGAACAGCTCTGTAGGTCATGAGTGCAAGGCCCCATTTCTGTCTATTGGTCACCCAGCTCACTGCCTACCTAATGAGGACTCCCCATTCCATTTTGGGACAGCCCCAGCAGTGAACTCCCTCGATTGATCTGAAATCTGCCTCCCTAGAAATTCCCATTGAGACTAATTCTACTACCCACAGTACCTGTTATCATTGCTCTTCTGCCTGACAGCCCTTCACCTCTTTGCAGGCCTGTCCCCTGTGTTCCCCCAAGTCTTCAAGGCCTCCAACCTTCTAACGGGCTCCTCATTTGCTCTCCCTGGGTGTCTCCCCCCTGTCCTGATTGACTTCCTCTGAGTGTACCCTGGCTTATCAGAATCTTTCCCAACTGGGCACCCGGCTCACAGTGCTCCAGGCATGTTCAGACCATTGCAGAAAATACTGCCGTCCATCTCGTTCCGGTCTATAAAATTCTGCGACTGTGATCCAGGTTGGAATTCGTATTTTATAAGCGGCTCCATCCCACCATTGAACCTGTGGTCAAATAGTGCTCCCGGGTATTTTTTTTTGAATGAACACGCCTCATTTCCCTGATGCTTATGCGGTTCATTTTTTTTTTCAAACCCAATTCAGGATTGTACATTTATCCTTGTGAAGTTTCGCCTTCTAAGTTCTGGTCCCATTTTTCCATCTGGGGGCGCTCTTTCTGAACCCTGAGAATCCAGGTGTATCTTAGCTCTCCTTCCTATACTACACAGTTTTGACATTCTCATCTGAGTATTTGTTCCCCTCCAAATTTAAATTTAAAGGAACTTCCTCCTTCCTCTTTCTTCCCATGATCATTATTCTTGCCAGGAATAATGACAATAGCAACTCAGAGCCTTAAGGTTTGCACATTACTTCTCATAGCGCTTCTGTGATGTAGAAATTGTTATGCCTCATTGCTGAGGCTCACAGGGAATTTTAGTTATTTTTTCAGGGTCTCAAAACTAGGAGGCATCAGAACCATGATTTTTAGGTTTGATCCCTTCAACTCCAAGCCCAGGGCTCTTTTTTTATGATTCTGTACTATGTCTAAGCTTCCTCTTAATTAGATCAGCAAGTTTTCCATTAAACCATTCTTTTTTGTCTTCATAAGATGTTGTCATCATCACTGGCAAACATGTATTCTGGTGGCAAATTAGAGCTCTGGGCCTGAATTCAAATCCAGCCGCAGATACTTACTAGTTGTGTGACCTTGAGCAACAAGTCACTTACCTATCGTTTGCCTCAGTTTCCTCAACTGTAAAGTGAGGATAATAATACCAGCACTTACCTCACATGGATTTTGTGAGAATCGGATGAGATAATACTTGTAAAGCGCATTGTGCAGTGCCAGGTGCATAGTAGGTGCTTTATAAATGCTAGTCATTGTAATTTTTCACGTCTACATGCCAGACATTCAGAGAAGGGTCAGCTCTAGCCACTGCCCCCAGAGCATTTCCAGTCTCACTGAGAAGTTAGGATGTGCCGATGTATCAAGGTGAAGTAACACCACAAAGGAGTCTGGCTCAGTGCCAGGCGAGTAATCTGCAGTGAGGGAGAGCTCCGTGGCGGCTGGAGCGCACTTCCTAGAGGAGGGAAAACATAATCCAGCCTCAGAAGGAGGAGAATTGGAGAAAGTGGGGAAGGGGATTCTAGGAAGTACACAAACAGAAGCAGAAATGAATAAGGCAGGTTGAGGAAAGACCAGTCTGGCTTAATAGTTAGGAGATACGTCCACTAATGTGGAGAGTTGTGAGTGACTAGCTGAGAGAGGAAGGCAAGGGCCTGGTGGTTCAGAGCCTTGAATGCCAGACCAGGGCATTAAAACTTAAGTCTTACCTCCTGCCCTAATTCTGATATCACTTCAGGGGCACCACCTTCTAGTCCCGCTTCTTTGCTGGGTGCTACACGTTCACAGAATGTTGGGTTGTTTTGATTCGTGCTTGTCAGTGTCCCAGACAAGGACCTCAGGTCTGAACTGAAGCAGGCTTCGAGGCCCCCTATGTCTGTGAGCGTCCCTTCCTCCCCACGCCCTCCCCCAATCCTGAGGAGCCAGGAAATTAACCTTGTCCCCACTTTACCGGGGCCCTGGGTCCCTGTTGAAGCCAGTGAAGCTGGGTGAGATAGAGAAAGTCTGCATGACATTTCCTTCTCCCCCCCGCCTCCCATCTCATCCTCCTGCTCCATTTCTGCTCTGCAGTCTCTGATAAGATCACCCGTGTAGGACAGGACCAATTTCGGAGCTTATCGCCACCATGGCTGTTTCAGTAGCGGAGGATTGAGCCCTGATAGCATCGTGACATCTGATCGGAGAGGCCCGGACAACGCTGTTTTGGCTCAGAATGAAAATTTGGGACAGCCTTGGCACTCGGGCTCATCCGTCACTGGCGGATGGTTTGTCTCCCATGGGGAGGGGGTGAGAGGGGAATAGGAGGGGCCCTTGACCGGGCTGTTCTGCCAGGCCAGCTTCACCTGGAGTCACTGTCAGAATTCAATGAGGCACTTTCTTCATGCCCTGTAAGACCGGGCGATGGCCCTGCTCCCTTCTCCTTTGGCACGTTGTTGGTATGACCTGACTGGTACCACCCTCCCTTTAGCGCCTTTGTTCCTTCTGCCCTCCCCCTTCACCTGGAACACCCCCATCCCTCCCGGGGCCCCCTTTCATTTGTTCAGATCCTCTCCATTCTCCCAAGACTCGGCTTGTTTTTGGTGAAAGCCTGGTAGATTCCTCCCCAAGTCACAAATGACTTCTCTTCCCCCAACTATAAACTCTCTTCTCACTTGGTTTTATGGCCCTTTTCATGTCCTACCTGGCGTTTTATTTATCTCCTTCTTTTGGGTCTTTTCTCTCCTGTTTGCCTCTAGGCTTCCTAAGGGCTGGGATCACGCCTCATTAATCTTTCCATCTCCCAGTGATAGATACTGAGCCTCAGTTTCCTCACCTGTTAAATGGAGGCAGTAATACCAGCAGTGTCTAGTGCATAGGGATAGTGCCAGATCCAGTGGGATAATGGATGTGCAGCCCTGCTCACACTTGATAAATGTCAGCTTTTTATTGTTATTACAAAGCAGTATGTCATAGCCCATAGAGAGCTAGCTGAGAGAGCTTTGGAGTTAGGATAACCTTTGTCCAAATCCTGCATCTCATTCATGCTGGCTGAATGAGGCAGGGTGGGGCCTTTACCTCCCAATGTCCCAGGTGCAGGAGATGCCAACCTGCATTGGTAGAGGGAGTGTTCTCACCTGGGAGTTCTTTTCACTCATTACATCACAGGCTTTGCTCCCCCTCCCCCACAAAAAAGCCACCCAAATTATTATTTTTATAGTAGGGCCTCAGTAAATATCTGTTGAATGAATAAATGGGTGAGGTGACGAACATTTGAACCAGGTCTGGGCCTGGCAGTGCCAAAGTCAGCAGCCAGAGGGTCTCCCACCCAGTGAAGCGGTTATACTCTCCCCACCCCTCAGAGGACTGTGGGTGTAGAGCACTGAACATGATGTCAGACTTTTAAAATGTCTTAGTTTTACTGAATTTTTTCCCCTTCTTTTTTATGACTGGCTGTCCAGAACGGGATAAGAGAGATGCGTTGGGAAATGTGGGTGATGCAAAACCAAAAAAATGTTAATTAAAACATTTTTTAAAAAAGAGAAAATAAAATTTCCCACCCTGACAAGTTCCCAGATAGGGAATTTGTGGTGACTGCCTGGTCACTGACCCTGAGGTCTCTTGGTAGAGGCCCAGGGGCATGAGATGTGTTCTGGTAGCTGCATCTCCTGAAATCTGTTCACAGTATCATAGGTTTTATAGGGCATCGATTCCAACCTGTTTATTTTACAGGGGAGGAAACTGAGGTCTATAGAGGGGAAGTGACTTAGAGATGGTTGTATAGGTAGTAAGTCGTAAAGCCAAGATTTGAACCCAGGTATGACTCCTGCCTTGGGCTATTTCCATCACTCATTGCTGACTCCCATGGGCTGAGATCAGGATAACCCTGTGGATGAGATAGCTCAGAGCAGCAGGACATTCCCTATTTGGAGGGTGCTATATGAGTCCCTCGCCGTCTTGTCTCCTTGCCCCAGAGGAGTCGTGATGGAGAAGAGCCTGACTGCACCCGTCCTCTCCTCCCCAGGTGCAGGCCAATGTGGAGAAGTCGCTCACCCTGTTTGGACAGCTCCTGAACAAGAAACACTTCCTGCTGACCTTCATCCGCACGCTGGAGGCCCAGCGCAGCTTCTCCATGAGGGACCGCGGCAATGTGGCGTCCCTCATCATGACGGCGCTGCAAGGGGAGATGGAGTACGCCACGGGTGTCCTGAAGCAGCTCCTCTCAGACCTCATCGAGAAGAATCTGGAGAGTAAGAACCATCCCAAGCTGCTTCTGCGGAGGTGAGTACGGGTGACTGGGGGCCACAGTGAACCTCAAAGACACAGAGCAGGTCAGACCGTGGCGTGTAACAGCTGGAGGAGACCATAGACACTGCCTCGTTCAGCCCCCTCTGTTGTGGGGGGAGGGAGCCGAGGCCCAAAGGGCTTGAGTGACCATGTCCAAAGTGCATGACTGAGGTAGGATCTGAACCCAGGACTCTAGACTCCAAATTCAGCGCTCTCTGCTATGGACCAGCCCAGTGGATAGAGTGCTGGACTTGGAGTCAGGAAGACCTGAGTTCAAATGTGGCCTCAGACGTTTACTAACTGTGTGACCTTGGGAAAGTCACTTAATCCTGTTTTCCTCAGTTTTCTTATATGTAAAATGGGGATACTTCCTAAGGTTGTTGTGAGGATCAAATACAATAATATTTGTAAAGCACTTTGCAAAGTTTAAAGCACTCTGTAAATGCTAGCTATCCTTCTTATTATTGTTATTGTTATTATCTTCATCATTTTCCCACCAGGAGGAGGCAGAGCTCGAGTTCTGGGGTATTCCTTAATGTTATCATGGTCTCTGCTGCCTCCTTCAAAGGGTTAACTCACCTTTGCTTAGCTCCAACACCTTCGGTCTTAGGGTTTGCACAGTCATAGGACGTGATCAGTTTAGACCTGGCCGAGACCTTGCCCCCTCATTTTAGAGATGAGGAGACTGAGGCCTCAGCGGGTCATAGATTTAGGCCTTGAAGGGATCTTAGAGGCCATTCAGTACCAGTTTTGTGAAGGAGGAGACCGAGGCCTGAAAGAAGTTAAGTGATTTGCTCAAGGCCCCACACATAAGAAGTAGCAGAGGCATGATTCGAACCCAGGCCCTCTGACTCCAGGTCCAACGCCATTAATTCCGGTTTTAGTTGGATGTCCTGCAGCGGCAGGAGGCTGTAGTCTGGCCCTGCCCCTCCGTCACTTGCTGGGAGCTCCCTCTGTGGGTCTTAAGCATCTTCAGATGTCCAATGAGCTTTGGGGATGAAGTTGGGGCAAGAGTGCGGATCCCTTGCCTTCTGCTGCAAAGCAGGAGGGGCTGGGAAGTCTGCTCACTTAGGAGCTCTTGACGTCCTTCAAGACATGGCTTCAAGTTCAGAAATCCGTGTAGAAGAAAGGTCATTGAGGGGAGAATTAGGTGGCCTGGGATCTCCCTAATTTTACAGAAGAGGAAACCTAGACCCAGAAGGTTAAATGACTTGCCTGTGGTCACACTGGTAGTAAACAAACAAGGTGGGATTTGAACCCAGGTCCTTTGACTTTGGAGCCTGTACACTTTCTGGTCTGCCTCCCTGCCTCCTGGGTTCCAGCCCCAGCTCTGGACACTGACTCAGTGTTTGACCCTGGGTGAGTTCCGCCCCTTCTTAGGGCCTGTTTCCTCCTCTGTGAAATGAAGGTGTTGGATTAGGTGACCCCATCCCTCAGTGCAGAGTCCAGGGTGTCTCCCTGGGGCATTCCGCCTTCTGGAAGCAGAACATGACAAGCCGTCTGGGTTTTTTTCCTTTCCATCCACCCAGGAGTAAACACTAAGGCTGTGCTATGCCCTTGGGGCCCTTAGCATGCCTTGTCTCCCAGCTCTGCGAGGGCAGAATCCTTCCAGATTCCGAACAGGTCATCCACGGGGCCAGAAAGAGCTATCCCTGTGGCTGCCTGAGCTAGTGGTAGACCCGAGACTGCACATGAGGCCTCCCACGGCAATCCTGTGCTCCTGCCAGCCCGGGGTTCTGGCTGTGGTCAGGTCACTGAAGACAGAAGACTGTCTTCTCTGACCCCCAGCCGCTGGCCAGGGACGTGCCCTTGCTGTGGACTCCCAGGTCCCTGAGGCCTTCCAGCTCCACGATTGGACGGCCCTGTGGTTCTCCAATTCCGGCAGTCTGTGATTTACTCTGTCCCCAATATAATAACCTGTTGGGGAGTTGTCAGCAGTGAATCCGTCCAAACCGTTCTCGGCCTATTTATATTTGCAGCCCGGTCAGTCCAATGAGTTCCTTAACCCTCTGCTGGGTGACTTAGGTCTGCTCCATTCGTCCTCATGTCATCTGCCTTCACGTTTCGTGCCTGGAGCGGAGGGAAGGTGTCTAGGGTGGGATGAATTAGACGTGTCATCAAAGAATACGAGTTCGAATCCAGCCTCTGCCACAGTTGTACTATATGAGTCTCCACAAGGCACGTCACCTCTCGGGGAGTGTTAAGGAGTGGGGAATAAAGCAAATGAGGCATCTCTCACAAGCTAGTGAAATTTCACATTGTTTATAGAATTTGATCGCTGGCTTTCTGAGTCCCTTCCTGAGCTGATCCTTAATGGGGTGACCTAGGTTGGAGATCTTGGGTGGGTGGGGGGGGGGGGGGATTAGCCTGGGTAAACCGATGCAGTGTTCTAGAATAGCCATGAGCAGATAGAGGGGTAGGGCACTGAATGACTCTGGGACTCAGTAAAATGAAGTCTTTTGACCCTGTAAGTTCAAGAACAAAGATCATGGTGGACTGGAATGATCTGTCTCTTCCTGGATGAGGGAGGCCTTGAGAAATGAGTTGGATTTGGAACAGGAGAGAGGCCAGGAGAAGGCATTCTGGACAGCAGAACTGGCCTGAATAAAGTCATGGAGGCAGGAAAACTCAAAGCATGCTCAGTGGGAGATAATAATCAGTCATTTATTCATTCCGCAAACCCTGATTAAAGATACCACAATAATAGCCAATATGTGTATTATGAATAAGATTTGCGATCACTCTACTTACATCATGCCACTCAGTTCACAATAGCCCTGTGAGGGAGGTGCTGTTTTAATCTTTGAAGAAACTGAGGCTCAGCGAGGTTGTTAATAGGAATGATAGTAATAGCTAACATTTGTATAGTAAGGTTTACTAAGAACTTTGGTCTCTATAACACTCTTGGGAGGTAAGTGCTATTATCCCCATTTTACAGATGAGGAAGCTGAGGCAGACAGAGGCTGCATGACTTGCTCGGAACTCTATTGGAAGCAGGATTTGAACTGAGATCTTCTTAACTACGGGCTAAATGCTGCTAGGCAGCCACCTAGCCACCTTATTATAATAACAGCTCATGTCATATAGTGCTTTTTAAGGTTTGCAAAGCACTTGATGCCTTTTATCTCATTGACCCTTGTAACAAGCTGAAGGAGTGGGTTCTGTTATCATTCCCATTTCATACAGCTGGAAACTGAGGCTTGGAGATATTAAATGGCTTGACTGGCCTCTCAGCTAGGACATGTCTTCCTGAATCAAGTCTAACCCCGGCAGCTTCACAATTTAGCCCAGGAGTGGGGAACCTGCAGACTCGAGGTCACATGTGGCCCTCTAGTGTGGCCCTTTGACTGACTCCAAACTTCACAGAACATAATAATAATAAAAAAAGGATTTGTTCTGTAAAAGTTGGACTCAGTCGAAAGGCCACACCTAAAGGGCCATGTGTGGCCTGGAGGCTGTAGGTTCTCCACCCCTGATTTAGCCATATCAGAGGCTGATTGTGGAGAAGGAGCAGGAGGAGAGAAAGCTGGTCTCTTGGGGTAGAGCTATTATCCTGGAGGGCTTTGAATGCCAGGATCAGCCATTTCTCCATCCTCCTGTACATCGCAGTTATAGGAGATGGGGAATGCAGTGAGTTCAGGGCTTCTCCAAGCCCTGGCTCCAGCAGCCTCTTCTTCCTGTCCCCTCTAGCTTACAGCTTCTTACAGCTGGGCCCTACAGATAACTGAGGTCCCCAGCTAATGGGTTTCTGCCAGGGTGAGAGCCAGCCATGATTGGCAAGTCACAGGGCTATCTTTAGAGTTTTGTCATGGCAACCCCCGGGAGGCTGGCCTCCTCCTGCTCTCCCCCTTTCTCTCCCTCCTTTCCTTTCCACTCCCCTGCTTTCCAAGGCTTGACTTTTAAATCAGGAGGAAGAGGGGAGAGGTCAGGGACTGTGGGGGCAGGGAAGAGCCCAGCAAGATCACAAATGGACAATTCCCCCTCTTTAGGTATTGGGTTTTTTTTTTCCCTGTGCCCATCATTTTCTATCTCTTTGTTCTAGGACAGAGTCGGTAGCAGAGAAAATGCTAACAAACTGGTTCACATTTCTACTGTACAAGTTTCTCAAGGTAAGTTCCCAAAAGCCTTATTCTTCTGGTAGTCTGGGAGGGAGATGGAGGGTAGGGGCGGCTCATGGGTTTTCCCAGAGGGGCGTTCTCATTGTGAAAGGAGGCCCATATGCTCAGAGAGCCTCAGGACCATGACCAGTGCTGAGAGAGGCATGCCTGCCTGTCCTACATGTATGTTCACCTCTCTTCTTTTAAAAATTCTTCTCCATTCAGGAATACTCTCTTAGTTTTATATTACTGTGACATCTGAGTGTCTCCCCTCCCTGTTACCACTGAGTCTTCTCATGGTAGACCCTCCTCTTACAACTGATAATGCCTTTGTCTGGTAACCTAGGCCCCATTCTGTGCCTGTAGTCTACCACCTTTCTGCCAAGAGGCAGGAGGCGTGCTTCAGTCTACCCTCCCTCTGAAGTCTCTTACTCATCACTGCAATGATCTGTGGCTTTTCAATGTTGTTTTCTGCTATACTTTTATGGTCATCAGGTAAAGTGTTCTCCTGGTTCTGTTTCCTTGGGTCTGTATGAGTCAATCAGTTAATCAATAAGTGCCTACTATGTGCTAAACAAGTCTTCCTACGTTTCTCTGAATTCTTCCAATTTGTTGTTTCTCGTGGTGCAAACATATTAATTCACTCTAGTCCTGTACCATAATTTACCTCCACTTTCTTTTTCCCAGATGGGTTGGGTCCTTTCCCCAACTTGTGGCATATGGAAAATTGGAATGGGTAGATCTGGGTTTGAATTCCAGGTCTGCTATTTACTACTTGTGAGACTTCAGGCAATCATCCCCATCTGTTTCTCTATCTCTGACATGATGGAATCAGACATTCTCTTTACAGAATCCCAAGATGGCGGAGCCCAAAGGGACCTTAGAGATTATTTAGTACGATGTCTGTGTGGTACAGATGAGAAAACGGCAGCCTGGACAGGGGTGGTACCTTGATTAAGAGCACACAGCTAGATGGGAAGACCAGCAGATTTGGCATCAGGAGACCCAGGTTCAAACCTCCCACCACCCCCACTGCTGCTTATTAGCTGTCTGACCTTGGGTGGTTGCCCTCTCTGACTTACTGGTCTCTCAGGCCGTTTCCAACCTTGAGCCCAGGATGTAGGATCCTAGGAGTGATGGGAGCGGGAATCAAAGCCGGCTCTGACTCAGTTCACTCTGCAAAGATCCAATTAAGTGCCCACTGTCAGGTCCAAGGGATACAAGGACCAAGCCACAGGAATGGTCTGTTCTCTCAGAGAATTCATGTTCTCCTGCGAAGATACAGTATATCCATAGATAAATACAATCAGAGATCCATCAGCAAACATTTATAAGCACCTAATATAACACAGCCTGGGCGTGCAAGTACATTAAATGAAACAATCCCTACTCTCAAGAACTTTACCTTCTAGCCAAGAAGAGAAGTACATAGATAAATTGTTGAGTCATTTCACTTGTGTCTGATTTTTCATGACCCCATCTGGGGTTTTCTTGGCAAAGATACTAGAATAGTTGGCCCTTTCCTTCTCCTGCTTATTTTACAATGAGGAAACTGAGGCTAACAGAGTTAAGTGACTTGCCTAGGGTCACACAGCTAGTAAGTGTCTGGGACCAGATTTGAACTCAGGAAAATGAGTCTTCCTGACTCCAGGTCAGGCACTTATCTACTGTGTCACCTAGCAGATGTCCAGACAGATTAAATATAAGAATAAGTACTCATTTCCATCAGGTGCTACTTCCTACCCAAGATCTTTCCTGATCCCTATGCCTATGCCCACCCCCACCCCCAGTAGTTAAATCAAAATATGTTTTTAAAAAATTTCAAAAGGGATAGAACACTAATGACTAGGCTGAGAAGGAGAGGGGAAGATAAAGAGGCAAGAGACAGACAGAGGGAGAGCTCAAGCATAGAATGTCACCTGAACTTTGTATTGAAGGCCTCAGCTGGGGGAGGATGGATGCTGTGGATCTGGGCCCCTTCTCGCTTAGCACTACGGGCTTTCCAGTCTGTAATCCCTATAACTCTACCCTCACCCTCCCAGTGACCCTTGAGAGAGGGAAGGGGGAGGGGAGTTAAGGCAGTGAGAAGAGCCAATTCCCAGGACTTACATTCATCATGAAGACAAAGTAGATTTGAACTGCTTCCAAGAAGGAAGGTGGGCAAGCCCGGAACCGGCAGGCCCCAAGTGAGTGCCAAGCAGAAGTGATTTATCAGGCCTCTTAGAAGTACTTGGCTCCATGCCCCGGGCCTGGAGGGGACATGCGTGCTGTCTCTGTCTGGAGATATCTCCTTGGGACAGTGTACCCTCAGGTTAGCCTGGAGATGAAGACACAGCTGGTCTCCCTCATTGTTGAGGCCATTCCCTAAGACTGTCATGGCTGGGAATTAGAAGTATGATGGACAGGGACCAAGGTCATAAGGTCACAGGATTTAGAGATGGAAGAGCCCTCAGGGCACTTACTATGGAAGGAACCTTTGAAATCAGTTAGTCCTGTTCCTTTATTTTACATAGGAGGAAACCGAGACACAGGAAAGTTGTGTGACTTACCCAGAATCACACAGCTAGTAAATGTCTGATGCTGGATTTGAACTTGGGTCTTCCTGACTATCTGTTGCACCACCTGGCTGCCTCTAATCATTAGGTGAATCAATGTCACCTTCATTAAAGCAGCAACATCCATTATTTATCTGTGCTCTCCTTACATCGAGACACGGAGACCCACCCTAGAACAAGGCTGCAAGGATTACTCAGTATGAGATGAGTGTCACCTGTTTGCCGTCACAGCTTGGTTTGAGCCCCAGTCACTCGTTACCAAGGCTAAGTGGAGTGGCCCCCCCCCCCCATTCCTTCGGCATGCTCAGTGCCTCTTTCTCCATCTGCAGAACACTTGGCCTTAGGTGTTAAAAGTCCTTCACAACCTGCTTACAGAGAGAAAAGAGAAAGTGCTAAGTTGCCTTCTCACTCCTCCCAATTAGATCAGCTCCTCAGCACCTTCTCATCTCCATGTACTCTCATGAGGCTGGAAGGAGAAAAAGCATTAAAGAAGGGGTTTGATTCAGTTCAGTGGAAAGGAGCTGGGGAGAGAAGAGAAGACTTCCCGAAGGCAGGAATGATTCATTTATTCACTTTGTATCTCAAGTGCCTAAAGCAATGCCTGCCAGTCAGTCAACCATCGTTTAGGCTCTGTACTCCGCTGAGGGTTGGGGACCAGCAGAAAGAAAGACCACCCTTGCCATCAGGCAGCTTATGGGTGAAGACATCCCAAAAATGAGAACTGCAAAGGGGGGTGGGGTCAAAGGAGCCTATGAGGGGACACAGGAGCCCTAGTCCTATGGGGATGAGTCAGCATTGCAGCCAGGAGCGGGCTAAAGACAGGGCTGGCCTGGACCTCTGCCCAAAATTGGAGGCTCTGGGAGGAACTGGCCAATCTGGAGGAGAGGCCCCAGGGGTAGGGGATGCTTCCTGTGTGAGAAGTAGCCCAGGGGTGGAGGGAGTTTTCAGGGTGAAGACATTTCTCTGGCACGGTCTATGAGAGTCAGCAGCCTTCATCCTGGACAGGGATGGAGATACAAAGTACGTCCTTAATACATGCTTGTTGATTAAGTGATGGATGGATTGAATTCAGTAAATGTGTAGTAAGCTTCTGCTGGGCACAGGACGCTGACTTTGGTACCCAGGGAGATAAAAAAACGTCAATAAAACGTGGACGATTATGGAGCTGAGAGAGGGGAGATCATGGGAACTTTGATATTATCTTGTCTTTCATCTTACAGATGTGGAAACCAAGTCCAAGTGACTGGCCCCAAATCATACAGCCGTTTAGTAGAAGGGCCAGGAAAAGGTCTTCCACATGATGTGGTGGAAAGAATGTTGGCTGTGGAGTTAGGAAGTCATTTAACTTCTCTGAATTTTAGTCTCCTCATCTGTGAAATGGGCATAATTATATCAGCTGCCATCTGGGATTCTTGTGAGGACCAGATGAGAGAACATGTAAAGTGCTTTGTAAGCTTTAAAACGCAATATAAAATGTTAGCTGTCATTCCTACCTCTGGGATGCTGCTGGCTGTAGAACAGGGGACTTGGGTACATTTAATGAGGGGTTTCTGGAATGTCACTGGTTGGCCTCTTGGGGAGAGACTGCAGGGGAAGACCAGAGGGAGGCAAGGATATTGAAAGGTCAAGGATTGGAATCTATAGGGCACGAGAGGTATGTGTTCTGTAATTCTCTGCCTGGGAGTGTGAGAGGCCAGGCCACGGTTTCTACAATTCAGAGCAGGTTTTAACGAACAGAACCATTCTTTCCTGTGTCTTTCACCTCTAACCTCTGCTCTGAGGCCATAGTGTTATCACTCCATCCACCTCTGTCCATTAAGTACCTATTGTGTTATCAAACCTGTGCTAATGGGGAGATAAGAGAAACTCACTGTGTGGTCTTGGGCACGCCACTTCTCTTCTGTAAGCCTCAGGTTCCCCATCTCTAACATAAAAGAATTTCACTAGAACAAGGGTTTTTAACCTTTTTGTGTGTCCTGGACCCCTTGGGCCGTGTCTAGTGAAGCCTTTCTCACAATGATATTTTTAAATGCATAAACCAAAGTACAGAGGAAACCAATTATATTGAAATACTGTTATCAGAGTTTAAAAAAAAAAATACATATGCTGTAGGTTAAGAGCCCCTGGCCTAGACCTCTATTCCTAGCTCTAACACTCTGCATTCTAGTATTCTCTATTCTGAGGTTCCCGTGTTTGGTGACTCTTGAGACAGACTTCCTGCCTGACAAGGGCCTTGCAGCATTGTGGAGAAAGAGAGACACCCACACTCATTGATTAGTGAACAGTAGAAGATGGTATCTAATTATGTGATATTGGATAGTGAAGACTTTAAGATACAGATGAAGTCAGAGAAAGGAATGTGCCTGGCCCTGTGCTAGGCCCTGGGGACACGGTCACAAAGCAGGAAACAAGCATTCCCCATCTTTAGAGGTCAGAGTAGATTTGGGAAGCTGGCAC